AAGAAACAAAAAGTTTTAACCTTTTTAGTTTGCTTTAGTTTCTTCATTGAAAAGTGCGAAGTATATTATTCCATTCAAACTAATAGAAGCTTTTAGTATTAGTGCAAGCATCTGAATTATTTTATTCACTGTTTAGTGTAGATAACATTAGAAAAATATATTAAAGTAATTAGAGTTTATAAATTTTGTAATTGAGGTTACTCTTAAAATGATAAGCAATAGAAGGTGACCTTCTAATTTCAATGATGTATGCAAATAATCCAAATAAGAGACAGACTACGAAGGAGTTAGTGTTGTTACGCAAATGGCTCTTTCCTTGCTTTATTATGTGTGATTTATATCGTAAACGGTAATTGGCTTTCCTATATGTATATACTCCACGGACAGGTAATTGAATAAATCTAGCCCAGACATGATAATAGTTTGACCTTCCCCTAGACCTGCGTTCATTGGAAAGACCATTTTCCGTCTGGCTTAGCAGAAAATCGATTGGGAAACAAAATGCATTGACTGTACCTATTTTTGATCCACTTACGTCGCAAGTATTATTGTGCATATCTATTGAACCAATTGATGTAGAAAACAGGACAGACCATTATTTTATAGAAACTATCTTGGATCAAAAGCATACGTAAACAAATGCTTAAGATGGTGTTAGTTTTAAATAATTTTTTATTTGTCGATTACTTTTTGCAAATATTAGGTAAATAAATAATTATTTGTAATAAATTGTTAGATATTAATCAATAACAAGTTCAAATAATTCAAAAATACATACATCCCTAATTACATAATGATAACTATAGTAAACGAAACGTAGACACATTTTTGCTTTATTTTCTATAACCATTATGGTTATACTGATCTCTTGGTGAAATAATTTTATAAAAAATTGCCTTTGCTATTATGGAAGACTGGGACGGAAATTGTTGGCTCTTGACTTTTCTACTTAGAGAGGTTTTGGTGAATGCGGCGGACAGTCTTATATTGTCATTCATTAAAAAAAAAAAAAAGAAATTGCAGCACGGTTAATAATGTCAGAAATAAATCCAACTTTGTCACTCAGGGATTTTGAGGGTAGCGGAACACGAACATGTAGTCGGCGACGATCTCCGAAAGATATTTTAGGCCCGATGACCGATGATTTGATAAATAATATTGATTAAATTTTTTCTAAACAGTTCCATCTTAACCTTCATTGTATGTCGTCATCGATTATACATATATTGGTGTTCAGAGACCCTCAAAACCACGAGTAACTAATTGCAATTGATTTTTAATAAATTTAAAACAAAAGTACTGGAAACATATGACGGTGGCCCTGGGCCCCACCTACCTCGGTGGGCGTCGCTGACTGCATATTCGTGTTCAGGGACCCTCAAAACCCCTGAGTAACAAAATTGGGCTTATTTCTATCATTATATTCGTGTTCAGAGACCCTCAAAATCCCGAAGTAACAAAATTGGGCTTATTTGTATCATTACTGACCGAGTTCCAATTTCTTTTTACGTCAACTCTGCAATGCACTTATAAGACTGCATTTTTCTTATGCATTCATGCATTCTTGAAGATGAATTAATCTTTTATGTTTACATTTCTAGACGATCTCACGAATCGACTCGCATTTCGATCCAATTTACTGCACAAAAATTCGAAAGTTTGATTTTTTTATACGTCAAAATCGAAGGAAAATGTTCTAATATTAATTCAATGAACAGCAGCCAAAAGGAGAAAAATGCTATTTATTTGTTATGTAACCTCCAATCGACATTTCGCCTTGTTGGTCCAAAGCTTTATCAAGGTAGATTACTAAGTTATTTAATTACATTAGACGGAGACATTAGAAATCTCTTGTACAATCACCCATATACGTACCCCTAAGTTTAGGTGGTACTCATATGGTACACACTACTGATAAGATGAGGGCGAATAGAAAGTATGTGCTAATTAATTAATTTTTTTCTTAATTAATATTACTAATCAATTTCAAAAATTGACCTATTTTGTTTTGTTAGTAACAAGAAAATATCGAATTAGTTACAGACGCAGACTCAGTACCCTACTGCAATATACTCAAGTATATGAACACATAACGACAACGCCCTTAGGAAAGAAACTGTGGAGAAAAACTACCGCTTTTCCTTTAATAAATGACTCACACGATTACTGAAGTTGGCCCCGTACCTACTTCAATAAATCACGAACAGAATACATTACAGAGTTATTAGTCATTTAGTCCAGTCGACGACAATGACAATAAGGAATCACTTTCGAATTCTTTGGAACAGCACCAATTTTAATAAAATGTCAATTTCTGCAGTTATTTTAAGGGTGCCAATTTTCACCTCCTAGAAAGGAGTGGTATCCGTCCCTAGGATAAAATCACATACAACCACTATACAACTTTTTATCCTTGACCTTTTCCCCGCTTAGTATCCAAATTTTACGTCAATCGGTCTTGCTCGAAAGAATTCGGAGTCAAAAACATCAGCCTCCGGCCTAATAGCGCAAATTAAGTTAAGCAATTTTTTATAATTACGTATATATTTATAATATTGTTTATAAACCGATTAACTATAATTATAAAATTATATTCGTTCGACTTTTATAATATTGGGAATTATCCTTGTGTAACGTCCATGATAATTATTGAGATGAAAAGTTATCAAGGTAACAAAATGCAATTAGAATAACATAAAAAATGTAAAAAATATCACGACTTTTATAAAAGAACAATGCAGTTACATTTCTATGAAGGTCAGTTTTGATTTTACTATTTCACATTTATCTATCGACAACGGAACACGTTAATACAAGGTAAATAACCTTTCGGTTATAAAAAACATAATATTTTACTATAATATCGAGTTATGAAAATATGTCGCCATCTCTAGTATTTGTTGCGGTAATTATGTACTTAATAACCCCATTATCGCAGGGGGTGGGAGTTGCGGGGATGTTCACAGAAGTCCTCCTAACATAATTTCGTTGGAATTAGCTATCGGCCACCCCTCGGAAAAAATTTATGAAAGGTTGAAAAAAAAGAAAAAAAACACGTTGAACGTTTGCAGCCCTGATTGTTTAGCAGTTACAATACCGTCCTGTACGTTAGGTTATGTTAAATTAGGATAAGGGTGGGAAACGTTCAAATACCGTAACCTAATGTAATCTAATCATTACATCATAAGGTCGTAAGTCCTAAGACTGGTTGGACACGCACCTCCACCCTTTACTATTCTGAGCTAACCTTCGCATTATATCCTTAACGATTTGTGGACAGTAACCTAATCCAGTTCTATCTCTATTTCCTTCAACTCCTGTTTCTGCTTGTAATATGTTTCTAACTAGCCCCTCATGCCTGACTTCCATAAAGTCCTTTGTTCTCCTATTCTTTCTAATACCTCTTCATTTCTAATTTCTATCCACGATATCCTTATCATCCTCCTGTAGCACCACATTTAGAACGCTTCTAAGCTTTTCTTTTCAGTCGCGCTCACCGTTTATGTTTCGCACCCGTACAACGTCGCGCTCCAGACGTACACCTTTAACAATCTTTTTCGAACTTCTAAATTAACCGTTCGTGAGCATAGAACCCTTCATAAAAGTTTTCCAACGGAACTATGTTTGGAGGGCCCCTTGTGAACATCGCCCGGCACTCTCAATCTCTGAGACAATGAGGTCATTCAGTACATAATATATCTGTTAATACCTGAAGTATTTGAAATGTTATACAAGGGCCTGACTGAGCCTAAGATATCTACTTATTCAAATGAACTAACAACGTAATTTATATACGTAAATAAGAACAGTTTAAATTCTTGGTCAGTAAATTATCGAAACTGTCAAACGTAGATCGCAATTTTGGATATATATATTCTCATTTCTTTTCTGGTTTTCTGCTTTTCTCTCGGAAAATGGAAAATTGTCAAAAAAAAAAAAAGAATGACTCCAAGCCAAATCAAGAAAAACCTGGACAACACACTAGGTGATTCTGGGCCTTCGTATTCCACAGTAAGAAAGGGGGCAACTTTGTTCAAACATAGCAGAGAAGGCGTAGATGACCCAAGGAGCGGAAGGCCGTCGACGTCCACCACGCCAGAAATTAGCGGTCACGCCGAGAACTTTTCAAACCGCCCTCGTAATCTTTCTGTATAGACCAACTCAAAACAAACGTGAACGCCGAGATGTATCTAGGAGTCGGTGAATCACCATTAAAAAAAATCGTACGAGTCATTTGCATTTATTCATAGTCAACATTAATCCATCGACGTCCACCATGCCAGAAATTAGCGGTCAGACGGAGAACTTTTCAAACTGTCATCGTAACCTTTTTGTATAGACCAACTCAAAACACACGTGAATTCAGAGATGTACCTAGGATTCGGTGAATCACCATTCCAAAAAAAAAAAAAATTGTACGAGTCTGTTGCATTTATTCATAGTCAACATTAATAAGTCCTCTTGCACACGATACGAATTTTTTCGCTAGGTAGACATTGGACCACAGCGTCTAATGAGAACTTGTACACGACACCGTTCGGGTTAAAACGCGAAAACACGTCCTGACCATAGTTGACTATGTAGCTAAATGGAGGGCTTGTAGACGATACGGCTGCTTCGACGGACAGATACATAAGCGAAGTTGCTAATTTCTTCGCAAAACCACTAATAATTTTGTTTTGATAAAAAATATACAAAATTTTTCGACAAACACACCTCATTGTGTGAGTTAAATGAATATTTTTTATGATCAAAACAGTATAAGCTCAAAGCCGCCGACAATCAGTTTTAAATGGTATCGATATAAAGAACTACCCATTTGATCTTTAATATTTAACGTATAATTTATTTAAGATGGTTTATGTCACAAATGGTCAGATTTAAAACATACGCATATGTATATTTTAATTCAAAATAAATACGACAAAATGATAAGTAGCCAATGGTTGTGGCACAGTTGCAACCACGTTTCCCATAAAAAAAAAATATTTTTTTCCTACCTGATTCTGCTGGAGGTGTGGGAGTTTCGTCCCTTGCAGTAACTACTGGTACGTCTTCTACGTCATCTGTTTCCAATTTGTTGGAATCCTGTTCGTCAGCTTTTTGCTGGGGAAGACCGAAAAGAAAACCTGACGACTCTTCAGTTCCCTTTTCTATTTCTTCTTCCTTCTCTGATTCCTTCTTTTCTTCCTCCTTGTCTTTCTTTAGAAACTGATCCATGAAGTTATCGTTAAATACTGAAGGAAAACAAAAACAAAAAATAAATGCAAACTGAAATATAGTAAGCAGTTGTATTGTTTAGGGCTCTAATGAATTAATTTCTATTTTTTGGGAATGACGTAAAAAAAGAAGTTTGAAGCATTATAACCATCTTTGTATCAGGAGGTTGCTAAATTAAAAGAACCTCTCTGTTTTAAACTAGAGAGCTACTAATTTACTCAGATATTATAATTAAAAAATATATTGTACTAAGTAATCTAACCAAGAAATATATAATTTTTTATTACATTCTTCTTGTAATTAATGCCCTTTCTTTGTATTATAGTGATGGAATATGACATTTACCTGATTTGTCTGTAAACGTGATATTATTATTTGTTGGCCCGTCAGTGAAAGCTTTAGGAGACGTTGGAGATAGAATGGAGTCGTCAACGGTATCGACGTCCGTTTCAGGACCGTAATCTTCGTCGTCGTCAAATTCGTCAGTCGCATGCCGCTTTCCGTTTGAAAAAAAATCCTTTGATGACGAAAGGTCTTCAGTTTTATTGTCGTTACATTTGTTTGCGAAATTGTCTCCCAGATTTAAAGCGAAAGGATTCTATAACAAAGGATTTACCATTTCGATGAATTTTGCTTGAACCATGTTCTTAATAAATGAAAAATGAAATTGGACAACATTATCCTCGTTTCGTATAATAACTAAGATGAACTCTTATTGTTCGTTCATTGGAACCTCATCATCCTTTACATTGTTGGCTTAAATATACATTAATTGTATGTATCTACTCCATACCTTTGATTCTGTTAAACAATTCCTTTGGGAAATCAATTAAATTTATACAGGGTGAAGATAAGTAAACAATCGACATATGCATGTAATGTAATTTAAGACTTTTCCGCCGTTTAGGAATTGAATTATATGGGTTTAAATAAAAAAGCAATGTGTGAGAAATCGTGACGTTTCATATATACATAATTAACGATATTAGTTTATTTACCTACTTATTTTTGGTAATTTGTAAAATCTTTGACTGATTGTCATGTTCATGGCATTTGCCTCTACAACTCTTAACTCCTCTTTCGGCTTGTAATATGTCTTTTTCCCTTTTTAAAGGTTTACTCCTATATAGCTTTTAACTTTTTCTTTATATGTTACTTTCATCTTCCGCTTAACTATTTCATCATCATTATCAGTCCTAAGAACGGTTGGACACGCACCTCCACTCTTTCTTTCCTATCCTGAGCTAATTTTCACATTTCCCCAAAACTAGAACATTCTACATCCTAAACTATTTGCGAACAGTAATCTACTCTAGGTCTTCCTCTATTCCTCCTAACTCCCGTTTCTGCCTTTAATATGTCTCTGACTAGACCTTCATACCTGAGAAGGTGTCCTACTAACCTATCTTGCCTATTTCTTATAGATTTCCATAGAGTCCCGTTCTCCTATTCTTTCTAATACCTTTTCATTTCTAACCTTCTCTATCCACGGTATCCTCATTATTCATCTGTAACACCACGCCTTTTATTTTCCGCCGCGCCCACTGTCCATGTTTCGCACCCGTACAGCGCCGTGCTCCAAACATACACCTTTAACAACCTTTTTCGAAATTTCTAAATTAACCGTTCGCGAGCATAGAAGTGACTTCGTTTTATTCGACCCTGTGCTATCCTCTGCTTTGTATCCCTACTACACCTTCTGTCCTGACTTATCTGGCTTCCTAGATACTTAAAATCGGTCACTTCTTTTAATTTTTCCTCTCCTATCTTTATATTCGCTCCTCCCCTACTTTTTCATCCCTTGCATACCAGTATTTTTGTTTTATTTTTATTTATTTATTAAAAATTAAGGTATGCATACGTTCAAAGTACCTACTAACACTACCCTATCCCACTTATTTCGTTACTAAGAAAATAAATAATAACTGGCGACTATAGGATCTTTCCCTTTAAGCTATTAAAGCAGTATAACATCTACTTTTGTGAAATCAACATCGATTATCTCAAATTTAATTAAGTTTCTTTCCTTTATTAAGGGGTCGTTTCCCGGAATGTCTGATTAAATTAAAATATTACGTGATTGCAATTCAAACTTTCTACTTCGTAATTATGTAAGATCAAAGCAAATAGGTACAAATGCTTCTGGTATATATTTAAGTAACGCTTTTTTAGTCCATGGAAAGCCTACACAAAATCCTACCATATTAACTGTATTTATAGTTCGGTGTTCATTTATCAATCGCCAAGGTAACGGTAAATAATATAATAAATAATAATTTATTAGCCCACCTATTTACAACTTACAACATAATCGTAAGAGTTTGCAACCATATCTCTAACAACGTAAAAATTGTTAATTATACTTCCCGAGATAAAAATGTTCAGTCTCTAAGAGTCTCTGAAAGCGAGACTCGAGTCTCCGTCTCTCATCAAGTATCTCTGGTGTCGCTGAGAGAGAGTGTCGAGAAACTGTCAAAAAAACTGTTTAGCGTTTCTCTGAACGAGAGACTCGAGTCGCTCATAGAGAGATCCTCATTTCGTATCCAAACTCTGAACGGGAGACTCGAATCTCTCAATAAACGGTGTCTCGATAGACGTGGTTAAAACTTTCTAAGTTCAACATATTTCAGAGTTCCCAGTCTTTCTACGACAGACTCGAGTCTCTCAATTTTTCAGTTTTATTCATTCAATCTCTCTGTGAGAGACTCGAATCTCTGAATTAACAATTTAATCGTTCGAGTCTCTCATACAGAAACTGTGAGAGATCCATGAAAACATCTAGGCAATAACTGAGAGACTGTGAAAGACTGTGAGAAACGCTGAAAGACTCTGAGTGACTGGAGAGAGGCTGAAAATTTGTGTCTAGGGTTGCAATTTATTATTATACCTACTCGATTACTCACCCTAATTCGCATAGGATACTTATACATATTTTTTTAATTAAAATCAATTAAAAATAAATGGGTATAAGAAAATCTTCTGCAACAGCGATTTTGAACAAATGGAAGTAATTACATACTTAAATAATGAAATATAGGAACGACAAAATTTAAAAAATTCCATCTTTATTCCAAAATAGTGCCGAAAAAAAAAAAAATTAAATGATGTTTTAATAATACTACTAGTACTATTTGTTACCGGCATTTTATTTTAAGAGCTCGCAGAAACGCAATTACTTATTTTGCTTCTTTGCATAAAACTGTTTAAGTAGTGCTTATATTATATACTATTTTTCTTCGTTAAGTTTTATGGTTATTAACTGTTTGTTTTCCCATTATTATAAATAATTACCACGCAGAATTAAAACAATACATACGCTGAACAATGCATTTTTGACATATGTGTCATATACATATGTAGTTAATATTATAATTAAATTCAGGTAGGATCATTTGGATTTAATTTCACTAGTGAATTCACAATAAAAAATTTCACATGGTGATAGAATAAATGGCAGATTTCAAAGTCAAATGACCTTTTCTAATAATACCTCACATGAAATGATACCAAAGGCGGTACTGCCCCCCAAAGGGTGTTAGAACCTTACTGCCTTTCATTGGGGGCGGTAATGGGTCCAGAGGTAAATGGTAGCTAATAGGGGCGTCTGTTTCGTACACATTAAGAAATTAATGTAGTAATTTCTTTTTTATTGCATGGTTTTTCTGAGGTACCCCGTTTTACCCTCTCCCATATAGGTTTTCGTAAATAAAGAGATAAGCGAGATGTACTCAGGGGCGCAACAACGTTACATTTTGACTGGGTGCTCAATAAATGACAAAACAAAAAACGTCATTAATGCATTGTATTGGAAAAATCGAAAAATCGAGTTCGACGAGCTTGAACTATTTGAACCGAACATTGGATTGGAATTGACCAGGTGTCCTAACTTAACCTAACCCAATCGAGTGGGTGCCCGGGCACCCGCGGACCCCCCCTTGTTGCGCCCCTGGATGTACCCACAAATAATGTACTACAATATTTCAATATTTAATATAAAATTAACTATTGGAATTTAGGGGACAGTAGTCCAGAAAAGGTTGGGAATTTCTAATTTCTAAAATACAAAAGTTGATATAACCGCCGCGACGTAATAGCCTTCAGTAAAGCAATGTCATTTGCTTAACTTTTGGCTTGATTCTGTTTTCTTTTTTTATTCTATCACCTTCTGTAGTTATTTTTAGTCATGTGTTCTTTAGAATATCTAATCTATAAATGTAATTAATTCTACGTGCAGGTAACTTTGAATCATTAGCATGCTATGTAAATGTAATTTAATAACAAACCTGTGACAGTATAGAAGTGTCACTTGCGTTTTTCTGAGCAAGAAATTCCGCCCCATTGGTAGTAGCAAACGGATTGTTGGTGTCGTTGACGTTATTCAGGCTGGCATCCATGATAGAAGAGCCGTTGCGGTTTGCCCAGTGGGCTTCCGCGGCAATCTTTTTCAGGTCGCGAAGAAACACTACTATTACCGTAATATTATCGCTCGACCCTTGTTCTTTTGCTAACTGCACGAGGCGTTGTGTTATGTATTCGACGTCTTCTGAAACAATAAAAACAATTTATTCAATAACAATTTTTTATTCTTGTTGTTTTATATACAATAAGTCGTTACTTTTAAGTTAAATAATAACTATAATAATAAGTAATTTAAATTACGCCTTCGTCAGATTTCAAAAAAAAAGTGTTTAGGATGTTTCGTGCCGGTAAGCATTAATTCTGGTGTATAGCCCACGGCCTCGCGTCTCACAATAATAATTTTGAAAAAGTATGGAAAAATCCAAAACTACAAGCCACAAGGCTTTTCTTATAATAACCAAATTAGAATTAATTCTCAACTTAAAGATATTCCACTCTTCGGCGCACAAAATGATTGTGAATGATATAATCGATATTTCTGATAAACTACTTATATTATGTTATCAAATTAATTAATTAAAAAATCTCATCTCATTCCTTTACTATCCACGTTATCCTCATTATTCGCCAGTAACATCAGATTTCGAAGGCTTCTAGCCTTTTTAAACAATTATTGTGAATTCTAAATGAATTTTAATTAAAGTTTTTAAGTTACTTTCCTATTTATATTCTACGTATTTTCATCAAGTAAAGATTATGTCATTGTCAAACAATTATCATTCCTTTTTTATAATAAAGTAAAAAGTGCGAACTACACAAGAATAATTTATTTACCGTACTAATTTGCAGAAATGAAAAATGTTTATGGGACACTATGAAAGTTGCAAGGCTTATCATCTTATCTGAGTACTCAGAATTTTTAAGACGAATGGGCTACTAGCCCTGCTCGTCAACCCTCCTCCTTTACCCGAGCTTGGGACCGACAGTGGTGATGACTGAGGTACTCGATTCACTAAGCAATAAAAAATGTCAAAATGGGCAGGGGTCGCAGAATGGGCGATCAAGAATTCACGATCCCTCTGTTACACTGATGATGCGGTGCTTTTCGTGGAAAACGAGAACGATCTACATAGAAACCCGCAGCTCTTCAACAATATATCATTCAATATAACCATAGCACTCTAAGAACTAATGCATGACAACGGCGAAAGAATCACTTCGATGTAAGATGGAAATGAACCAGAATATTATGGAACAAATAATGTCATTCGAGTATCTGGAAGTCGAACTATCAAGGTATTTTGTTTCTGAGATATCGAAAATGATGAAGTTATTATAAAAGCTACCAAAATCGCAAGCCGCTTAAACGACACCATATGTAGGGAACATGAACACAAAAGAAAGAATATATAAAAGCATCATAATACCGATCATGACCTACACGACTGAGACTAGATCTGAAACATCTAAAACAAAAAGAATACTAGAAACAGCAGAAATGAAGATACTTCGCAGTATTACTGGGAAAACCCTCTGCGACAAAGAAAGGAAAATATAAGGAGGAAAATATTACAGAATGCACACACAATAGAAAAAGACAATGGAATGCACACAGAAAAATGGAACAAGATAAAATGGTAAAAAAGACCAGAGATATGTTGCCCATAGGAAAAAGAAATCAAGGACGACCAAGAAAGAGATGAAGCATTGATATGCGTCCTGAATAGACATAATCGATGAAGAACAGGCTAAAGCCTAAGCGGAAGAAGGAAAAAGAAGAAGAACTATGAAGATTCTGAGATTCAAAGCTATCAAAATCGGAAAAAATTTACGAAGAGCCAAGAATAGTTGTTGAACATTAGTCTCAGTTTATCAGCCGTTGTAATTAGTGCTAGTATTATTGAATAATTAAATTCATTCCTCTTTAACTCAAGAACGCTATCAAACTGTATCAATAATAAATAGATACCATATGAAGTCTCACTTCTGATGCCTTTAGTTTTGACTTATTATATCATTGGTTTACCACTTATTTAAATCCTTTTGAGAACATTTTTATTAAATCGTTTATTTCTAATTCGAAGTGATTTGAGGAAGGGAGTCCAGATACCCTGTCTCTCTGAAATACATTTTCATAGAGGGCGTTCCAAAAGCATTTATTCCACTAAATGTTCGCGTATCTGTATTTATCTAATATAATCTTAATTATATAATCTATACCAACAGAAACTGGTGCATTTTAAATATATGTTTTTATATCTAAAGTAAAATGTTTGACAAGCAACAAATCACTCTATAACCTCCCAAATCTACGGAGACAATATGTAATGTAAAATCCATAATCCAATTTGGAGTTAGAGAAATAGATAAATCAGTTTTGAATAAATGTATAACAATATGTAGATACTAATGTCAAGAGAACAAAAAAAAATACAACGTGTAATTATACAACACGCTACTGACGTGAAACTTCTTCAAACATACCGGGATAGGGGTTAAGGAATTGGTTAAATGGTATTACTTGTACACTATGAATTTAAATTTTACACTATACATGCCGGAGTTGCCTGTAACGAAAGTTGCATTGAAGCGCGTTCACGGATCAAGCGATCCCCACCACGAACTCGACTACGTGGCCGAGTAGAGGGGGACATCCGTTGCATGATTTCGTTACATAGCAACTCGCATGAAACGAACTTACCCTACCGTGCGTTTCACTTCGAAATATTCGATTTAAAAAAGATTTCGAGTTATATTTCCGCTTAATGTTGTAGCCCGACTTGTGCAATCAGGATAGGCTTAAAATATTCAGTGCAGGCTGAAAGCTAAATGTTTTCACATCGATCGATAAACCTACATAATATTTGGCAATGCTTTCGTTAATTTTGTTTGTAGTAGATTCTACATGAAAGTGAGAAAACCCAAACAGCAACTTTTATTTACTCACGCAAAATAGGTTACTGGTAGAAATTTCGAAATGTTTAGCACTCTCCGGCTAGCTGCTAGAGCAGGCTCAAATTTTTCTAGGACAAGCTCAGTCTACTGTATTTAATTAAATTCTTTCGAATGTCTTTCGATTTGTTGTAGAAAATTGTTTGGCAAATAATCAACCGTTCGTTTCTAAAAACAATCAAGCGTATTTTTTTCAGCGTTTCAATTCACTTCAATATCCGTTACGTTTTCCACTTTTAATCGGATTTTGGGAGTAGCTAGGATGGTGATTTTGTAAGGTTTTAATTTAAACAAAGCCCCGGTAATTTAACACCGTGAAAAAGGTAAAAAGTACGCAACTCTATGTTCACAATTTCTCGCGCGCACAATGCCCATGGTAACAAGACCGTCTGGTGCGGGTCGTCGAACCTTCTTCTTTCTGTACCCTACTGCGAAACACCAACATGCTTGCTCTTCACGCGCTCCTGAGCTTTCACCATTAAAGTTCACTTGTTTGTTACCTGAGTATCTCGTTTTGTTTTCTAACTTTGACAACCCCTTCATAAAAAGATACAGTTAATATATTTTCAAACTTATTTTATACCATTTTGGATTTTAATAAATCCTTATTTTACACAGCCAGTAAATATAATATTTCTTAATTTTTTTTATGGTCTAAATAAGAGCCAAGTAGTTGTCACACTATGGGAGTGACAGAGGATCGATGACGTCAAAAAACGATCAAAATAGGCATTAATCATCACAAAATATACGATTAGAACTTTCTTTTTAAAACAAATAAGACATTTTTACTAATTGTTCAAATAAAAAACAGTTGGTGTGTTTCATTGTTGCGTTTAAATGTCCCTAAATAAACATGGCCTTTTGTTTTGAAAAACCATTAGCATTGGATCAGTTTTTATTTTCAATCATCCAACGTTTCGTCCATAGGTTAAAAGTTTCATCAATTTCTTTATATGTATAAAGAACGTAACATTATTGTTAACTTAATTTTCCTAATTTACTAGTTGTAATTATAAATCGAAAATGTAAGAATTTTTTTAGTCTTTAATCAGAATTAATTCTGTTTTCGATTAATATTATCTAACCCAACCCTAACCTAGTTTAATTTAATAATTCAGAATTTTAACGTGACGAGTCTTGTCTCTCCTATTTTTATATAAATGGAATTAATTTTATAAAATTGATTTTCGGTTCGCTTTACTAGATTTCAAAACTAAATGTAAAAAAAAATTACCAATGTTTGAAAAAAGGTATCTGCAAAAGTTTCCTCGAAGTAAGTGTTCATTATTTCTATGTTTTGATTTTCTTTTTCTTCTTTCAAGTACCTTGTACTATTTTGTTCGTTAAAATATCAATTTATGCGTTGGAGGACAACTATCGACACTATTTCCTTTTATAACAACACAAAAATTACAATTTTTGATTGTAAAGAACTGAATTTGCTGTAGAAATAGTAGAATTTATTAGGTAACTTATAATAATCTCAATTTTGACTTATTTGGGTCCAAATTGTAATTTTTATTATTTTCGCTTACGAAGCAACGAGCTAGTGGGATAAATCGTAAATATCGCTTTAATATTTAGGTAAATTTTCCTTTCTCATTTCAGAAAATTTTAGCATTTAAGAGAATTATTGGGTCGGACCATAGAAAAATTTGTGTTTAGAAAGTATCAGATTAAAACTTTAAATTAAACTAAGCCCCTATCCAACGGCGGAAACGAAAAATAAAGACTGATTTTTACCTGAAGGAAGTTTTAAATAAACCAGTTTATAAACTTAAAAGTTTCATTATGTTGAATTCTGCTTGATGCAAATTCATTATGAAGGAATTTATAGAATAAGTCATGATCAATTTTCAGAAGCAATGGCAACATTTTAACCAAATATTATTTAGAAAATGATGCTTTTTTTCACAAATACAAACCATGAACATAGAAACAGACGTATTTAGGGTAAGCTTAAATTAAATTAATCTATTTTTTTAGGTTAATGGTAGCAAAAATTTAAATTAGATTAATTAGAAATATTCGTACCAAGCCTGTTTCCATCTGCTGCACATATACCTAGTATAACAAAGACGTTCATAATTATAGAGGTTAATGGAAACGGCCGGCATCATACAATAATTAGAAACACTCAATTAGAATATGGACCTAATTTAATTAAAAGCTTTACCGCGTCTATTATCCGAACTACATGATAATATGTTTTGTTGTAATTGTAAATGT